ATTTTATCCACTACAATTGCATTGCTCAAATGTGCTGTTATTGGTACTATTTACTACTGAAAATATCAACGAGATGTTTATTTATATTTGAAGACATATTAAAGGCTTTAACGCTTGTTTTTGACTCGCACTACTATTCATGATTGAACAAAACTTTTGGCAGGTACTGTATGAAAAAAAAATGTTTAATGAACAAGTATACGATAGTATAATGAGCTTTTTTTCTCCCTACCTACGATTTTGCCAGCGCGCATCCAAGACATTGGAAGGGGCACATCGCTAGAGAAAGTAAATGAAGTATAACACCTACTGACCTGGGGTGTTAGTAAGTCGATTAGCAATCGTTTAAATAGCGAAATTAATAATTATAGTAATAGTGAAGTCAAGAAGTCGGTAGTCGAATTCAAGATTACGAAGATGCAGGATGGTGAGACGGCTTATTGTCTTCACTCACCCTGTTAGTTCTTCTACTTTATTTATAGTCGTCGCTTGTGTTTTATTTGAAAGTAATAATTAACAATAAACTGTGGGTGACTATGATAGTTTTTGCAATGAAAGCAAAATTACACTATGACATACGATCAAGTGATTTATGCCAGTTTGCACCTACGTAAATAAGTTCTACTTATCTTTAAGTAGTTCTTAAAAGACGGAAATGATTTGCACCGCAAGTTAAGTCGCACTTACGAATCGAAACAGATGCTTAACTTTAAGCAAAAGTTGTTCCTGACTTGAGCATTGCTTAAGCCTGTCGTAATAATTTCGGCAGTAGTTAGGCGTTTTTCGTCAAAAGAAAATAAAAAATAAGATGGTTATAGTGTTATAGTAAAGAGGTTATTATCATCTTACTATTAAATAAAATAATAAAAATAAATAATAAAATAAACAATAGATAAAATAATTCGAAGTGGTCTGTATTCTGTCGAAACTGCCAGACGCGAATCGCGATTTCGATCTTTTTGGATCTCATCAGCGCGTCGCAGGCAGCTCCGACAGAACACAGACCAACTTTTACCTGCTGTCTTAACAGTGCGTTTTAGAAAATACAACAAA